GTGCTACTTTAAACTACATGTGTAGTTGTAGAAAATCATCGCCCTCCAGTGGCATCAACTGAGTTCCATTCTCAAGACAGTCCGAGTATAGCGACCCCCGGATGACCTGTGAGCTATGTTCGGTTATGTTGATATTTGGTTCTGTTAGTTGTAATCACTGAGCAATGTTCACAACAGATTGTGAGTATATATATATATATATATATATATATATATATATATATATATAAGTGAGAGAGAAAATGTGCTTCCCGTGTTAGAACTAAGAACCAAAACTAGGCTAAAAATTGTGAACCTTGAGGTTTTCATGACTCCATATTCGGACAAACATTGTGAGAATGCACCCCTGTATCCGGGATTAATCCAAATGACAACTTTCATATATCGATCTTCCGTTCCGTTCCGTTCTGTTCTGTTCTGTTCTGTTCTGTGACACCATGATTTCCAATTAGAATCGGGAGATTGCTTGCAACAATATCAGACGTGATGTGTCCCCATAAGTCCAATTCACCCCCATTTTGTATATTCTCACTTTTCTGGTAAAAATCTGACGTCGTTTTCACTTAGGATCGACACTGGAATAAACGCTGATGTGCAAGTGTAGATGTACACTGAGCCTATCATCACTCATCGGACTCTGAAGCTGTCCATTTGATTGAATTCTCGTTGATTCGTTTCGTTGCCGATATTATGGCAATTGTCTGGGACGTTCGGTCGTTTAAGTATTGAACATATCTGATATTCAAGTGAATATTTGTTTTAGTTTGAAGGTCAGGAATCTCCATATATTTGTGTTTGTATTTGTTCCTTTCGGCTGGTGATAAAAAGTTTGCGAACAAATTGCCAAGCTCGGCGAACAAGTGAAATAGAATTCATTTCACCCGAGCTACGACAACCGATTTTCAATACTTTATCATTTGTATTTGTATAACTTTTGAAAGTTGACATATGCTTACTTTTCATTAAAAAATTGTACATTGGTTGTCACACTGGAAAAAATAAAGAAGTATAGACAGATCCAATAGAGTACTGTGTAATGAAATTCTCCGAAGTTTGATTCATTCAATTCAGGATTGACGTAATTCATTTAGAACTCGTTCCTTGTTGGTCAAGATGCGAGCCAAATACAGTACAGTTGAGTTTCTATAAACGTTTATTCGGGAGGGTAGGTACCGACCGAGTGATCGAGTTGGAGCGACAAAAAGATACGTCAAGAGACAAAGGATGGGAGGGGTCGTTTAGAATCTTCTTGGCAAAGGTCACACCACACTTCATATGAACATAAATAAGTTCTGTGACTAATGACTCATCAGAAATTAGAGATGCACGGCTTATTCTCATCAATTGACGATATATAGTTTTAAACTCGCTTTCCAATAAACCGAGAAACACTACAAGGGACCAGTAAAGTAAAGTAGGGAGAATGCATTGTTTAAGAAAGGAGAAGAAAAGTTGTTGGGAAGTGCGAAATTGTCTGAGCTTTCGGAGCTAAAAGGAAAGACACGGAAGTTTTCCCATACGGTTCTGAATGTGTGTCGAGTATCAGTACATGCAACGCATAACGATTCCTACTGGTGGATCAAGACACGAGAGATATCCCTAGGTTTCTCACACTCTTAATAATCCCGTAAATCTCAGGCGATTGAACTGGACGAAATCTTAGGTCCGTTCTTCGGTGCATGCACTGCTATTCTGGTAGACAATCATCTCTCAGTTCTTCTGACATACTTACTATCGCAAGTACATACAAATAGGTAAACACAGAAGGAGGTAACTGAAGAGTCGGGTTAGTCTAGATTGGATTCAGTGAGTATTCGCTTCGTGTCGTGCAGTATTATAAGGGAGGTAGCATCAGTGTAAGTTCTTTCAATCGCTTGTTTCCATCTGCGCAGTATCCGCCTATTATTTCGATCACCTTGAAACAGTATGGTGACAAAAGACGTTTTTCGAGGTGGCCACTCTGTTCTGGTTTATTCAACGACGCTCCATACCTTGCATTGATTAGATCACCACGAAATAGTTGAATGAGGCGCATCCTGTGATCATAATGCTTCTTCTTTCGGTCATGAAAATTATATATCAGCCCCTTCAAGATAGAAATCGTTATTTGTGTTGGCATCAACTATTCAAAATGAGTTTCCCATTATGTCTGAAATGGCTACTTCTTGAATGATATTCCTCTCCATCTTTGACAAAAATATGTGCGCGAAACATTTTTCTTCCCAAGTTGGTCATGTGATTCGCCGCCAAACAAAGACCCAATAAGTCACATCTGTTTTTACCTATAGGTAAACCGAGCATCGATCTGTTTCTTAGTCCCACTGTAGAGATAGACGATCGATATGCATGTGTGAAATTTCCAAAACCATGGTGGAAACTACACACTTTGTCTGTATTGTTTTCGTATTTTGCTCCGCATACAATCGGTCACCCAATCGCAGATTGTTCGCCTGTTGATCATCGATCGTCCATGGCAGGTCGTCTGTGAATTAAAACACCGTTAGAGGTGATTCATGCCCCCATTCACTCTCTCAATGATCCACAAACACACCCACTAAGTTCACTTTTCAATCAAACTCGTAAAAAAAAATAGCACAAAAAATGACCCGTGTTTGTTTCGTGTCCTTCGGTAGCAAATAATTCATGCAGTCATGTGCAGTTTTTCATTTTCATTTTGTGATGATTCACAAGGTACAGACTACCCCTTCCCCACCATCACAACACTCGAGGGAAATAGAATTTTTCACACTTATGTTTTGTGTGTTTGTGTTTTTATACAAACCCTCATTGCCTTGTGAAGGGATCACGAATTTCTATCACTTACTCAATATCCCAAATCCAAACAGAAAACGACACAGTGTGGGTACAGTGGTCATTTTAGAGTAGACAGTGTTGGCGGATAGTTCGAGTCTATGTAATTGCATCTACCTGAAATAAAATTTGGTGGACCGAATGGAGAGAGAGAGAGAGAGGTAGGAGTATTTTGTGCTGGACTTACAGCGCACAGTCAACTACTGACTGGAATCTAGTCAAGAAACGAGCGATCAGCCTTGGCCTTTAGCGTAATCCCCGACGCCGGTAACACCGTGAGCGTCGGAGGCCAAATCGTCTGACACAAGGAGGGTGAAGCGCAAGGATGATGAGGGGGACGATTAAAGTGGGGTCTTATGTGCGTATTTTGGAGACACAACATACATCCAAATCGAATGTTTCAAGGGTCTCATCTAAGGCAGCTTGTTGGCCGATCTGATAGAGTGTGCGGGCATTGAAAGAGCCCAAGCGAACAGGGATTTTTTGCTTCAAGAATCCATTAACTACTGAACGTTTGACCTTACTGGTAAACACTGAGTGATATCCACTGGATGACATAAACAAGAGGCATTATCTGGAATCCTTCGGGATTGAATGGAGGAACTAGACAGATGGAAGAGAAGTTTTATCGAGTGGGTGCCTAAGACTTTAGGACACGACATACTTCGCGTCAGCTCACATCGGCGAACGGGTTTCTCTTTAGGAACCCTAACCGGAGCCTTCGACTCAAAATTCTGACCTACAGGCCAGTGGGATGTAGGTCCAACGCGTGAGTGACCGAAGCAGTCGTGTGGGAGCTTCTGGAGACTGTCACACATGGCCTTCGGGTTTCGATTCAGTGTATTGTTCGCTGGTGAGTTGCTTGGTGGTCTACTGTTCGGGATGGCCCTTGGTCTCTTGCACCCAATCAGACAAGCGGAAAGCGGACGGAGCAGCACCTTATTGGCTGAGGGCTGTCTAGCTTGGGCAGGCGATTGTATCTAAACTAGCCATATCGGTACGATGGCCCGTAATACGTAATTGATATCAATTACCTAACGTCTTCATGTAATGCACTAACGGTTCCATCTTCCTGCGACCAGAGAGTTTTGGACATTTCAATAACATTACCTTATGCTCACAGTTCAGGATTTATCAGGTAGATGCTTTTCTACCCCCACAGTGCTCGTCAGTGTGGATTATGTTTGTCGATATGGTGTGTAAGGTCGGTTGTCGTTCGATGGAAGCGGTACCACAATTGCACTTGTATTGATCGAAACTCTTACAGGTGATCAAAAAAGCCTCTTAGGTATGAGTTCTAATGTTTGGAGTTGGAAAAAAACATCTTGAATGAACGACAATAAATTTGAGACTCTTCTGATCCTTTGTTTGGCCGCCTGATGTGCGATTTTTTCTGTTCCTGGAATTGTTTCTCCGGTCCAGTCTGTTTGGTCTGTTCAAAATCATAGAACTGCGCAAACTAGTCCTTGTTCACTGAGGCTCTTTTGTTACTAGTTACATGTCGTCGTTCGAAGCACATTTCAAATAGAAACACGTTGTTCTCGTCAAGTCTCATTGTTTTGATGGAGTGAATAAAAACATGTGCACTTTTCACTTCATTTCCTTTTTCTTAATGCTTTCTCTTGGCCGAATCGTCATCTGAGTATTCATATAGTAAGGAAAAACATCCAGGACCGGTAGTTGGCGGTTGTGTGTGTGTGTGTGTGTGTGTGTGTGATCATTTTGATTGATACGTTGAATTCTAGAGCAACATAATTGAGATTGATGTTCTCATCAGCGACGGGAAGAATTTCATCGTGTCGGTCTAGGCAGGTTGGTGTGTCCCGTGGAAGCAAATAAATGCGTAAGCAATAAATTTAGTGGTTATTTTATTTCCACTACGTAAACGTAGACGTAGCCGGTCCGTAGGTCGGTGAGCAAGCAGAAGCGAAAAACATGTATGAAGGTAGACAGACCAACAACTGGCGCAAGCGTCACACAACATCGGTATGCTGTCAGGCCGGCATTCAAACAGTCAACGAATCATTCAGCGCAGATAATCCAATACTAACACCTGATTGGTTGAAGCCGATCGATATTGCATTAGAGTCATTCCGCATGGCTTTATTGCG